CCCCCCCCCCCCACACACACAAAAGAATGTAATCATGTCACTAAATTGTACATGTAGTGATTATTGAACTGGTATGTTTTCACTGGTATTCCCAACAACAACATAATAAATAACTTTAGAGGAAAAGAAAAAGTGATGCATGAGATTTGTTATTACGGGGGCATGGAGACACGGTTAAGAAACACTGGGTGGACAGTTCCTGAGATTGTTAGGCTGGGGTGGGTTGTAGTGCTGGTTACTAAAGTCTGGATATGGACATGCTCAGCCACAGAGGCAGGTGTTATGAGAAGGGCAGCTGGCTGGGAGCAGGGTCTGAGGGAACCCCAACATTAGGAGGAAGAAGAACAAGGAGTAGCTAGAGAGGTAGAAGGGAAACCAAGGGAAAATGGGTTGGGAAGCCACAGGCAAGAGCAAATGGATGACAGTGTGAGGGCCTCAGGGAGACCAGGTGAGATGGTGCACCCAGACTTGGCCACTGGGGGCGCAGTGTTACCCGAGCTTGGGAGAGCTGAAGGAACAGGAGCTGCAGTCAGAAATGCAGGAAGAGAGGGAAGAACTAACCCAGTCTCTCTCTCTTCCTGCCCTCCCAGCTCCTACTCTTGCCTTCCATTGGTCCACCTTCTGGGAAGCCAGAGGGAAGGGGGCCCTAGCACAGTGCACAGGGGCCAGCAGGGTGGACAAGGGCAGAGGATGAATGTGTGAAGGGAGTGGGGGATAAGCAGAATAACCAGCACAGTCCTTTGGAGGGAAGATGTAGGACGTTTGGTGGGGGTCATGCTGGAAGAGTCCAGAGGTGTCCCTTCTGGTGATCTGAACAATTACCTCATCACTGTCCCTTGGGGCCCTGGTAGCAGCACCCCAATCACCTCTCACAATCTTCTGAAGTAGATACTATTATCCCCATTTACAGATGGGGAAACTAAGGTTCAGAAAAGTAAAAACAGACAAAGACTTGCCTACGGACACAGTAGAATTAGGATTCAAACCCACAGCTACTAATGTTAAATCTGAAGCTCCCAGCCACTAGGCTTAGCTGCCAAATCAACCTGCAGTCCTGTGAGGTGCTGAGAATCCTGCCCAGGACTGGGTAAACTGAGTCCAGGTGCTTTTGACAAAGCAGGAGGCAGCAAATAAGTCCTGAGTGGAGTGGAGGGACAACCAGAGTCAGAGGTTCTCAGAGTGGAAAGGAAATGGGCCTGAGTTTGAATCCTGCCCTTTCCACTGACCCAGAACAGCTGACTCTCTGAGTCTCACTCCATCCTCTTTCCTGTAAAATGTAGTCAATGTAGTGTTCTTGAGGGGGTTAAATGAGGCTATGGTGGTTCTCTTTCCTCTCTCACACCCATCTCACCATGAGATTGGGGTTCTGGGAGCCAGATGAGAAGGATTTAGGCAAGCAGAATCTCCTCAGGGATCATCCCCTCAGCTGGGCTGATCTACCTTAGCGTCACTTCTCAAGAAATGGAAGAGGTCTGCCTATGTTGAATGTCATGCCTGTCTACTGCCCTGGCCTCCTCTTCCCCCTCACATGGGATTCCCTCTACACAGACTGTTTGATTTCTGTACTAATCCCTCAGGGTCCTCACAACCCAATTCCAGTTTGTCCAGACCTTGTAGGACACTCCCAAGTCTGGTCCTAAGATGCCGCTTGGTGGTTGCAGGAGGGTGGGGTTTAGAAAAGCTCTTGAACCCGGCATTCCACTAACTTCCAGAGCTTACCCTAAAACCACGTGTTTTATGTTTGTGTGTCCAAAGGAAGATGGAGACTGGTAGGAGTCTTGGAGCCCTCCTGTCCTTTCTCAGGACTGCCTGGAACTTTTGGGAGCCTCTGAAAAGTGGGATAAAGTAAACTCGACATGTTAAGTACCTGCTCATCAGCTCATTAAAGCTGCCATTACCCCCATTTTACAGATGAAGAAACTGAGTCCCCAAGAAGGCAGTCACGTATGAAGGCTGGGCTCAAACCTAGATTTCTCTGGCTGTATGGCCTGTGCTTTTTCTACTGGGTTTGCTTCCATGTGAGAGAAGCGGTCTCCTGGAGTCCGTGAGCCGTCAAGACTAAAAATTGATTTGGAACAAAGTAACCAAGGAAACCTATCTTGGAGAGAACAAGGGGCAGGTGAGGATGTCCACTCAAGGCTCTAGTTCTGCTCTGAGCCCCCTGGGACCCAGGTCTGGGCACCTACCTCCCTAATATTGGAGGGGGCCACCTGTGTGAAGCCTACTGCTATGCCCTCCCTACACTTCCAGATTCCCTTGCCCATCTCTCGAGCACCACCAACAGCTCCCTTTATTGATGCAAAACTCTGGCTCACCAGATTATGCCCTCTAGGAGCTCAGGACACATGCCCAGAGCCCAGCACAGGGACTACTGTGGGCTGAGCCATGGCCATGGGATCGGGCCAACCATGGATGCGTTGTCAAGGGTCCCGTGGCTGATCTCAGGGAAGTTCTTTCAACAAGGAAATTCCTCCCACTACCCCGCACTGGAGCTGAGGGCATTGGAAGAATGGGCTGTGGTGTTTTTGCTTTTTAATGCTTTAATGTTTTTTAAGTAGTCTGTATTCCTGAATCTGGGTTCCCCTAAAGAAATCCTCCTTTCCACCCAAACAACACCCCCCTCTCCAATCTACAGGCTGGTCCTGGAGGAAGTAAATATTAGTGCAGCAGAAGACTTAAAGGTTAGACAGCAAGTAGAACTTCCTGACAGGCTCTAAGGAAAGTTTACTAAGAGTTGCTATTCAGTAACATAGGCTGCTTTGGACTGCAGTGAGGTTTCTGGAGTTACAAATAACTGCTAGTTAAAAATGGAGAGTAGGAAGGGGGTGATCGGGACACAGGGTGACAAGGCTGAGATGGGGAACATTGAGAAGGAGCAGGTTGGGATGAAAAGATGAGTGGGCTGGGGGCAAAGTCCAGGTCCCGGGTTCAGGAGGCTACTGGATGCACAGATATGACTTGGGACAGAGGCTTGAGCTGGGACAAGAGATGTGGGGAATCCAACAACACACACACACACACACAAAACAGATATGACTTGGGACAGAGGCTTGAGCTGGGACAAGAGATGTGGGGAATCCAACAGTTGGGGTAACTGAGGACTTGAGAATAGTTTGCATCACTATTATCAAGTGTGAAGAAAATACCAGACAGCACCTCAGAAAAGTCTGGGGCGACTGCCACCTGAGAGGCAGTTGGAGAGCAAGGCTGGGATGGGGCCGACAAGAAACAGACCACACTGAGTGACAAGGTCAGAACGGCAGCGGCCTCTGAGGCCTCAAATTGAGCCCTGGGACTTGAGGATGTGGGCCTGATGTCTAGAGACATGAGGTGGGTCAGACCCCTCCTCTAGAATCGTCCACAAGGTGGAGCTGCCTGGGAGGCCTGGTCAGGGAGTTGGTGGTGGTGGAGCGGGAGGGAGGGGCTGGGCCTCTGTCCACCGCATTAGTGCTGGTTGGAGGGACGGACGAGGGGGGTGCGGAGCCAGCCGGACTGCCCGCCTGTTCCCACAGCAGCGGATCAGAGTGTAACTACCATGGCGCTGGCAAGGCCTGGGACCCGGGACCCTAGGCCCCCTGCCTCTCTCCTGCTGCTGCTACTGCTACTCTGGGCCCCTGCCCTGGCCCTCCTAGACGGTGAGTTGGGGTCAAAACTTTGGGGAGACCAGGAATGTGTGTCCCCCAAGGCAGACACTTCAGGCCTTGACTTCTGGGACTAGGAGTGGGCTGTTCATGTGGGTGCAGGCCTGAGTTGTGGAGTGCAGAGGGGTGACCTGCTGGGGTCCCCTGGAATTCGCGTGGGGTCCTGAGTTCTGGGATTTGGGGGTTGTTGTGTATGGTGCAGTGGGGGTGTGCATGTTGGGAGGTGCTCTATGGAGTTGGAGGTGTGGGCTGTGAATTCTGGTGTGTTGTACATTTACTGTTAAGGGATGTGGGTATCAGGGCTGGAGAGTGTGGGTTCTGAGGTGTGGAATTTGGGGGCTTGTGGGTTGAATACATCTTACCCCAGAGTCTGTTCTAAGTTTTGTGCCGGGTTGTGGGGTACAGGTTGTGAGTATGTTAAGTTGTGAGTCGGATGAGCTGTCTTGAAGTAAGCTGTGAGTTGTATATGAAACATCGTGAATTAACCTGTGGGTGTAAATTATCCAGTGGGTTGAACTGTGTCTTTGCTTTTGACATGGGGGCATAGGGTGGGAGCATCAGATCTTTCTTGGGGGTAGAGAAGTAGGGAGGGAACAGTGGAACTGGGCCTTTGCCAGTACCCCTTGCATTGTGTGCTAGCCTTGCTTGAGCTGGGGGATTGGAGGATACTCTGAGGTCTCGGGGTTGGTCAGGGACTTGGACACATGTGTGTGTCTTCTGATGCCCCCTCCCTGGCATTCCCAGAACAAACCAAGAAAAGGCTCCTGAAATCAGACCACCATTCGCCAAGTGATTTTTTTCTTTTCATTCAAGTGAATTCACATAAAGGGGACTGGAATTCTTCTTGGGGGGTCTGGGGGATGCTTTGTCTTGGTCTCTATAGCTACAGGGGCCAGGCCAGGCCAGGGAAGTCCCCTGCCCCCACTGCCACCAGCTAGAGTAGCCAAGCTGGGCTGGGCTGCCTGGGCTCTCACATGGCGGCAGTAGCCCCCCACCTCCCCACAGTTCTGCAGAATCCTAGTGTGTAGGAGTCCAAGCTCCAAGCCCCTATGTGGGGCCTTCCTCTGACTTGTGAGACCTCCTTACTCCTCTCCAGAGGCTGTGAGGGAGGAAATTGAGGCTCCAGGAGAGATGGGGGTTGATGGACTTGGCTTCCAAGGAGCTGAGAACTGTTCTATGCTCTATGCCCAGGAGGGGCTTGAAATCTGGGTCTGTGGATCTGGTTCTCTGCCCTGCAATGCATGTATGTATATACACACACACACACACACACAGATGCACAGTTGCACAAGCACCACACCCCTGCATAATGGTGTGATGTACACAAAGGCACACACCACCCACATATGCATGCTTGAACTCACACATACCTACATGTGTAAAACTCCAACACACATATATTGACATGTGTATGCTCACGGTAATGTGGACATCTACATGGATCTTGAGACAGAGTAAACACAAATAAATCATTGCTGAAGAAAGGCATGAACACTGTATAGGTACACTCTGGTATATACCCAGCAACAGTACATACACACAATTTCTGCACAGGGACTCCACTCGCTGGGGATTTCTGAAAGCTGGGGTGGGGGCACTGTGGGTATGAGCAGTTCTGGATGCCAGTACCCAAAGGCCTGTCAAGAGGGGAGGGGTCTGGGACAGTGTCTCTTGAAAACCAATTTGCATAGCCGAAGGTGTGGGGGCTTCCAGAGCCTCAGCCTTGCATCCCTCCCAGGCTTTGAGCTGAGCCCCTTTACCTTGGGCCCACTGGTTGCTATGGAGAAGACCAAGCATCTTGGAGTACAATAGGGCAAGTTGGGCCCTCACAGTTAGTCCCCACCCCAAACTCCCTCCCCCTACTCACATACAGGGAGCCTGGCAGACAAAGGGGCAGCAACTCCAGTCTCCTATCCTGGCCCCTCCTCCAGCTAGAGCTGGGTGGGGATCTGTGAGACAGTTTTAGGGAGTACTTAAGAGAGACACTCATTTCGACTGAAGCTCAGGATCCTTCTGAGACCTGGTGGTTGCCACAATTAAAGATTTGTTGATGAGTTGTTGTTAAGTGCCCTTGAATAGAGACCCTGTATAAAGTTTCCAAAGGAGCTCTGGTAGCGTAAAGAATCGGGCTGCTAATTTCACAGTCAGCAGTTTGAAATTACCAGTGGCTCCGTGGGAGAAAGAGGAGGCTTTCTGCTCCTGTACAGATTTACAGCCACGGAAACCCTGTACAGGGTCGCTATGAGTTGGAACCGTGGCATATAACAACAGCAACAACATAGAGTTTCCAAGCAGTGGTTGGTAAGTTTGGACCATTGACCTTGTAGTTAGCAGTCCAGTGCTTATCCTACAGCATCACATAATAACATCAATAACCACTCCATGGCAGACACTGACTGCTACTCAACTAACTTTACGGAACTTCATTCTCTCAACAGTCCTGGAAGGTCAGTTTCCAGACTCCCTGTTCACAGAGACCTAGGGAGGGTCAGTAGCTTGCATAGAGTCACAGCCCACGTCACATTGCATCTGTTTTCTGTGCTCTGTAAGGGAACATATCCAGGTAACTCAGAGGCTGCTATAAGAGTTAGAGTAGAAAACACAGTGGATCTCCAACTCAGATTTTTGCCAGAGATCTTCAGCTGAAGTCCTCTACCAGCTAATAGGAAGTTAGTAAAACAAGGCCCATTCTGGAGGCTGGCCTGGAACCCACCTACTCTGTCTTCCCCTCTTTCTGGAAAATACGGCGAGCATAGTTAGAAAACACCGGTGCCATGAGAGCTAGTGTTGTGACTGTTGTTATAAAAATTATGCCTTTTAATCTCAAGGGCAAACATTTTTGTAAAAATCAATCCAGAATTTCCTGCCTTTTCAGAGTCAATTTAACCCCTTATTTTTGATGAATCTGCGGCAGTGTTTGTAAATTCCTACTATGTTGTACTCTGTTAGTCATCCAAGCCTGATGTAATGCTGTAGGATAAGCACTCAACCACAAAACTGGTTTGAACCCCAAGGTCTGCTGTTCAAACACAGTAGCCGCTACTCGGAAATGCTTTATAGAGTTGTTATGAGTCGGCTTGACTTGACAGCGATTAACAACAACAGGGCTATTACAGGGATATTAGTTGAACAATTCCCTCCCAACCTCACACACCTTATGAGAGCTTCAGTCAGCTTCTTAGGAATTTTCTCTCTTACCTATCAAGACAAAAAAATTCCTCAAACCCACCTTAAGTAAGGCCCTTCTCATCAGTTTTGACTGTTGTGTTGTTAGGTGCCGTCGAGTTGGTTCCAAACCCTGTATTAGGGTTTCTGAGGTTCTCCAAATCTTTATGGGAGCAGATGGTGGGTTTGAAATGCTGACCTTCTGGCTTCTACAGAGCAACCAGCGTTCCTTTCAGTTATGTTGTAAGTGCTTGTAAAGTAAAGAGTTACTAAGCACCAAGTGAGGCCTTAAGCACTCTGGGATTGCTAACAGCTGGGTTCTGGAAAGACAGGGATGATAGTCAGCTATGTTGGAACCTCCGCTCTTGTAAAAACCTTTAGAGGTCTTGCCCTGGTGCCTGGGTGAACACAGTAAGATAATAATACATAGGTGTCAATTTGTTGTTGTTAAGTCCATCAAGTGGGTTCTGACTCATGTTGTTGTTGTTAGGTGCCATCCAGTTGGTACCGACTCACAGTGACTGTATGCTCAACAGAACGAAACACTACCCGGTCCAGGTCTGACTCACAGCAACCCTGTATAGGGTTTCCAGGGAGTGGCTGGTGAGTTTGAATTGCTGACTTTGTGGTTCAAGCAGACGTTGCAGTCCAGTGCATTATCCCAGAGCACCACACGAGGTGTCAATTTAGAGATTGCAAAGTGGGAATTTCACATGCATTAGAAATATGGACCACTCAGAACTCTTGGGACATCTGGTTCTTAGTTGTTTGAAGGTTGATCCTAGGAGAGCGTTCATCAATCTCTCTGAGTTAAAAAACTGAAGTTTTGTAACAACATGCACCTCTTTGGGTTTGAATCAAATATAATAATGTAATAATCACAGATACTTGGATCCACAATCAATGCCCATGAAAGCATCAGTCAGGAAATCAAAAGACATGTTGCATTGGACAAATTGGCTGCAAGAAACCTTTTTAAAGCAAAGATATCACTTTGAGGACTAAGGTGCACCAGCATCTCATATGCTTGTAAACACAGGACAATGAATAAGGAAGACTAAAGAAGAATGGATGCATTTGGATGGTGGTAACGGTGAAGAATATTGAATATTAATGGACTGCTAGAAGAACAAACAAATCTGTCTTGGAAGAAGTACAGCTAGAATACTCCTTAGAAGCATGTACTTTGGACATGTCATCAGGAAGGACCAGCCTTTGGGGAAGGATATCATACTTGGTACATACAGTAGAGGGTCATCAAAACAGAGGAAGACCTTCAATGAGATGATTGACAAAATGGGCTCAAGCATAGCAACAGTTGTGAAGATGATGCAGAACCAGGCAATGTTTTGTTCTGTTGTCCATAGATACGGCTGCTATGAGTTGAAACCACTTGAGGGCACTTAACAAAAGCAATGATCATAGATGCAAGGTGTGTAGTCTAGCCCCCAACACATGGTGAGCACAAAGTAAACGGTTGTTGTTCCATTATTATAATCCATCCATCTGCCCTCCTCAGGGTAGGACTGCAGGTCTAAGGGGAGGGGCCCTGCCCATTAATCCCTCCATTGCCAGGTCGATCAGGCAGCCCAGGAGGTCAGGAGGGATTTGTAAAGATAAGCACAGGCTCCTTGTTGCTCTGGCAACAGGTCCCACCCCCATTCTGGCCCCCTGGGCCAGCCCCTCCTCTCCCTGCTTTCTTCTACACCCTACACTTTTCCCCTTTCCTCCTAGCTGACCTGGGCTAGTCTGATCTCCTCTGCTCACTTCTGCAAGAGCAAGCAACAGAGGTCAGGGGTTCCCACACTTCAGCGTAAGAGGAATCTCCTGGGAAGCATGTTCAATGCAGATTCTCTGGCCTTACCTCTAATGGCTCTAGTCTAGGGTTGACTGTGATCCAGGAGTCTATTCTAAATATGGTCCCAGAGGGTTGCAGAAAATCTGGAGTGGAAACTCTGGGGTCTGGGTTTGGATTCCGCTCCTCAATGGCGATGGGACTCTGAAATCAGTTCATCTCTGAGTTGCACTTTCCTCCAATGTTCAGAAGGATTATTCACACTGTTCACTTCATGAAGTAAATGTGAAGAGTCATTGAGATTACACAAGACAGACATGGAGTCCTGGTGTGGTGCTGTGAGTCTGCAAAGTTGATTTTAACAGCAGAGTCGGCAGTTCAAGACACTCCTCAGAAACCTTATAATACAGGGTCTCTATGGGTCGGGACCAACTCGACAGCACTTCACAACAACACAAGAAAGTTTTACTGCCTGCACAAACAGGCATCTGAACTCTATTGCATACTTCTTCAGATAGGCAGCTCACTCCCCGTGCCTGGGTCTGATTGAGAAATGCTATCCTCCTATGCAGCTGAACCCTGTCTCCTGTGGCTCGGTCATTTAAGGTGACACAGATGGTCTACTCCCACAGTCCTGGGTGGGCAGATGGTGATTAAGCACAACCCTTTCCCCAGGTGCTGTATCCCTAGCCTGGTCCTGTCTCCTGTAAGTGAAGGGAGATGTCTGGGTAAGTGGCAGACACCCAAATTGGGGTGTAGGTCTCTCAGTCCACATAGGTGATACCCTGTTGTGTTTAAATGAGCAGCCAGGGTCCTGGAGAGGGGAGCTATGGTGGCTATTCTCCACAGCTGCTCAAGTGATAGCTGGTTGTTGGGTGGCTCTGGGGTGATGTCAACCATAATATGAGTGATAATGCTGTAGCTGCCCCTCATACACATATCACCTCCATGGCTCCTCATAACAACCCACAAGACACTGTATGAGCAGCCCAGGTCAGTCTGATATCCTCTCCTGAGAGCGTTCCATCTGCTCCCACCCACACCAGATCAGGCTGCTGCCTCACTCTGCTCCCCCCCCCAACACACACCACTCTGAGCTGCTCAGTCCCGGGGGCCAGGGGTGGAGAAAAAAGAGAAACCACCCACAGCCTCTCAGAGGGCCAGATACCCCTTGCCCTCACTCATCTGACTAGGCCCTGGGAGGGGGAGGGGCACTGTGAACTCCAGGGCCCTAGATGACCACCTTGGTCTGACAGTGCTCAGAACACCCCCTCCACTCTTGCCATGTGTCTGGCCCAGGCTGGGCATTGGGGGGCAGTGAGCCCACAGAGCTGTACCTGGTGCTGGGGCCTCGAGAGAGGGACTGACTGGACCATTCTCTAGTTTTTTCCTTGAGTCCATCTGCCTGTATCTCCCTGGCCCACTCTTCCCTATCCTACTTCCGCCTGGCTAGGAAGGGTGGGGGTCAGGTCAATGAACAGTCCTGCCTGGTGGAATGTGGATGACGCCTGAGAGGCTGTGGAACCTTATCTGGGGGTCTTCATCCACAGAGTGGGGGAGGGGTGGGCACAGGGTCTGGTTAGTGTCTGGATGACAACCTCTGTGGGGGTGGGGTACTTCTGGAAGCTTCAGGTGGGGGTGGATGTCTCTGGTTTACAGCCCTGACTCTTCCCATTACCAATGACAACCACCATTAGTGAGTTCTGAAACGTGGGGGCCCTGGAATGCAAATGTGGGGCTTTTCATCCTTGGACTGGCATGCATATGTCAGTATCCCTTTCAGATTTGGAAACAGAGGCTCAGAAACAAGAAATGACTTGCCCAAGGTCTCAAAGCAAGTAATTTCCTGAAATGAGATTTGAACCCAGGGTTCTTTTGCTCCAAAGTCTGAGTTCTTACCCTACCATTACATTGACTGGGCACTTGGGAAGAGAGGGAAGCTGGCTTTCTCAGCTTCTAAACTTGTATCACCTGACAGAGATGCTTCCAGGGATGGAGGAATCACTGAATCAGAAGTCAGGGGTTGAGTCAACCGAACCGGCCTTTATCCTGAGACCTCAGGTATCTGTAAATGAGGCATAAAATAAGGGGCAGGATCCTTACAAGGAATTCCCAGGCCAGCAGGCCAGGGCCAGCAGCAACAGGCAGGGAGGAGACAGTGAGTGGGGCTGAGAGCACATTTGCTGCCTTTGAAGTTCTCCATCCACCCTCCAGAGGTCACCCCCATATCCAGTTTCACTCAGGGATGGAGTTACCAGACCCCCAGCAGGAGAGATGAGGGGCTGGGGGAGGAGCCTCCCCCTTCTTCAGACGTTCAGATGGAATCCCTCTTCCCTGGTCTCCTGGGAGAGAGTGGGCCCTGCAGGAGGAGACCCTAGGATGAGCTCCCTGCCTAACTGGGGTTACAATGACCCCAGACCTTGCAGCCTGTCCTAGCCACTAACTTGTCATGTGATCTCAAGCAAGAGCCTTCACTTTGGTCCTTCAGTGGGTGACTGTCATAGTTGCTGCAGTGATGCAAGGAGAGCATACAGGAGAAATCTCACAGGGCTAGTGAGTATCTGCCCGGAGGCAGGCATCCCTGATCCTATTTCTCTTTGCGATATGCCAGTTGATTCTGACTCATTCCTGACCCCATGTGTGTCAGAGTGGAACTGTGCGCTCCAGTGGCTGCTTTGTTGGCAGCAGTCTGGCAGGCCTTTCTTTGAAGCACCTCTGGGTAGCCTTGAACCTCGAATTTTTGGGTTAGCAACTGCACGTGTTCACTGTTTTCACCACCCAGGTCTCTGTGAGGTTGTTATTGTTAAGTGCTGTCGAGTGAGTTTTGACTTATATTGACCCTGTATAGGGTTTCTGAGGAATAGCTGGTTGGTTTGAATGTTCAAACTTGTGATTCGTAGTCCATTGCTTATCCTACAGTGCTACACCTGGAGTCCCCATGTGATGTGGTGGTGGTGGTGGTTGTTATGTGCCAGGGAGTCGGTTCCGAATCATAGCGACCCTGTACAGGGTTTCCGAGGCTGTAAATCTTTATGGGAGCAGAAAGCCTCATCTTTCTCCCGTGGAACAGCTGGTAGTTTCGAACTGCTGACCTTGCAGTTTGCAGCCCGATTCGTAACCACTACACTACCAGAGTTCCTTGTGGTGGTAGTTATATGCCACCTATTCATAGCGACCCTGCATAGGGTTTCTGAGACTGTAAACCTTTACTGGAGCAGAAAGCTCATCTTCCTCTTACAGAACCACTGGTAGTTTTGAACTGCTGACCTTAAGGTTAGCAGCCAGATTCATGACCGCTATTCCACCACAGCTCCTATACCAGGAGTCTCTCTGTGTTGTTGTTGTTGTTACATGCCGTCAAGTAGATTCTGACCCATAGCGACCCTGTATAGGGTTTCCAAGGAGCAGCTGGTGAGCTTGAACCACAGCCCTTGCAGTTCAAATGGCTTTGCAGTCTAGCACATTAACCCACAGCGCCACACCAGGACTCTGTGTTGTGGACACCCCTAAAACCTTTCCCTATTCTGGGAGTAGATGCATCCAGACACCTTAGTCCACAACTCTGAGTACACACAGACTTATTCTACTTTCCAGCTCTGGGGTCTGTGGATGGGCATGAGAGTAAGAGTGGGGAGGTGTCCTTTTGGCCTGGCCCACACTGACCAGCCGGTGTCCTCTTTCTACAGGAATGCTGCCTTCGGAGACCCCAAGTGCCTGTGCCTCAGACCCATGTGCTCCCGGGACAGAGTGCCAGGCTACAGAGAGTGGTGGCTACACCTGTGGGCCCACAGAGTCCCAGGGCTGTGCCACCCAGCCATGCCACCACGGTGCTCTGTGTGTACCCCAGGGTCCAGATCCCAATGGCTTCCGCTGCTACTGTGTCCCAGGTTTCCAGGGACCACACTGTGAGCTGGACATCAATGAGTGTGCATCCCGGCCCTGCCACCATGGGGCCACCTGCCACAATCTGGCTGACCGCTACGAGTGCCACTGCCCCCTTGGCTATACAGGTAATGGCCCCTGCTGGCCCAGGAGGAGTCTGTCTGCACTGTGAACAACTTCAGTTTTGACTTTGGCATAGTCATACCCAGGCACCCTGACAGCTTTAGGACAGTCACTCTGTTGGTCTGGCTATAGTGTTGATGCTTCCCAGGCTAACCTGGCAGCTCTGGATGGTAATACCCATGTGTAAGCACTGGCCAGGGGGCCCAGTCTAAATATTAATTTGGTTCCTTCTGCAAAGTTCAGCTTGGTGTCAGAGCTGGAGACACCCCCAGACATCTCTGGCAGGACTAGAGTACAAATTGCCTGGTTTGACTTTAATGAAGACAACCCTAGACTCTCCCAGTATTTCTAGCATATATTCCTTTCTGTGTCAAGGTATATTGCAGACACCTTCTGGCTTACCTGATGGTTCTCGAGCATGAACCCTACTATAAGGTTCAGACTGCAGTGTAGACCCTCTCCCTTCTGGGCATCCCACAAAGCTCTAGCATAGAGACATTCATGGTCTTATTTACACCATAATGGAAGCATACCCAAGGGATCCCTGCAGTCTCTGTTGCTGTTGTTGTTGTTATGTGCCATGGAGTCAGTTCCAACTCATAGGGACCCTGTACAGAGTTTCTGAGGCTGTAAATCTTTATGGGAGCAGAAAGCCTCATCTTTCTCTGTGAGATTAGTAGCCCAATTCGTAAGCACTATGCTACCAGAGCTACAGTCTCTAGAGTGGGGTAATGTATATAAAAGTGCTCAGCAAAGTGACTGGTATGAAACCAATGTTCTTCCCTCCTCCAAAGTGTAGCAATGTTCCAGTCTCATCCATACTCCAAGGCATAAACACCCTGGCGCTGCTTCCCTCTAGGCCTGAGGTTAGGAAGGTGGGCTCAGCGAGGACATGGACAGGTCAAGGAGTGAAGCTAGGTCTGGAATAGTCTAGAATCTGCAGTGAAGACATCCCTAAGTTTCCTTCGAACCCAGGATTCAGATAATCCTGCTCTGAGGGTAGAGAGCAGTTTGAGGTCACCCCAGAGCAAGATCAGGGGACTGGGTGCAAGGGAAGAGGGTGCGGTGAAGAGACAGACGTCCGCATGTTGAAGAAAGTGGATTTTGGAAACTGGTTCTAGATCTCTTTCTCATTATTTGAGTGCCTCCCATGCCAGGATGTACAAATGTGTCTGAGTGAGCTTGGTTCATACTTGTCTGTATGTCTCCTAGTACGAAGTATGTTTTGTGTCTCTAAAGCGGTTACTGTGTGTCAGCTAGTATCTGTGGGTGTCTGGGCTTTGTGAATACATTTGTGTAAAATGTCTGTGTGTATGTAACAGGTATGTGCACACCTGGCTGTGTGGCGCTGGGATGTTCTACTTAACTCTTGCTGGGTTAGCTGTGGATTGGAATGGGGGCAGCATCTGCTGTGACTCACTTCTTTTCTCCTCCTTCTGTTCTGAGTCTGGCGGGGGAGTTTGGGATTCCAGGCAGTCTGGGCCTGGCTCCCCCTGGCACGGATGGACAGTAGGAGTGAGACAGGGGTGGGAGGAGTGTGGGGTCACAGGAGGGAGGGGCCATGTTCTGTGCTCACTGAGCTGGGAAGAGGGGTATGTTCCAGCTGGAGCCAGCTGGGTCCCTGACCCCCTGACTAAACCCACTTAGGAGGGGGTAGGGCCTTGGTCCACTAGAGTCCACATTGACTGACACATGAGCTCCAGGATGAACTCAGATGGTCCAACTCCATTCAAGCCTGGACGAGTGCTCAACTGCTCCATTTTGCCTAGGACTTCTTTAGACTGCTGTGAACTTCCAGGTCAGCAGTTTCAATCCACCAGTTGCTCCTTGAGAGAAAGATGAGCCTTTCTGTTCCCATAAAGTTTTACAGCCTTGGAAAAAACAAAACAAAACAAAAAAAACCTATACAGAATTGCTCTGAGTCGGAACTGATTTGACGCCACACAACGTCACACAAGACTGTTTTAAAACCAAGTCAGTGCAGGCAAAACCAGGACAAGTTGGTCACTGTACTTCAGCATCTCCTTCCCAGAGGATATCCTTCCTGGGATACTTCCCTACACCCTCCTCAAAGCTACCAGGTGACCCATCTAAAATGTTGGTAGGACCACCTCACTCAGCTGCTTTATGATGAGACCAAATTCTGGTACCTGGCTCCCAGGACCCCAAGACCTTCTCACCCCTGCTTTACTTCCTTCACGCCGAGCTTGGCCCTCATATCCTGATCCATGCTGCAACCTCTCTCTGAATCTTAACTGTTTCTTACAGTTCCCAATCCAAACCTAGAAAACCCTTCTCATCCTTCAAAGGGCTCTTCTTCCAAGAAGTCCCCTCTGAATCGGAGAGTTCTTCAGGACTGACTGTGACTTTTGCTTTCAGAAGATCCTGTACTTTCCCTTGTGGAGCTTATCAAAATGAAAACTAAGTCCTCATTTATGTATTTATGACCTGGGCTAGACAATTATGAAGGAGCCTGGCTGGCACTATGGTTAAATGATCAGGAGATCGAACCCACTCCATGAGAGAAAGATGTGGCAGTCCACTTTAGTAAAGAAGTACAGCCTTGAAATCCTAAGGGGGCATTTCTACTTTATCCTGTAGTGTCACTGTGAGTCACACTGGATGACAAAGGTTGTTTTTGGTTTAAGACTGTTGTGAACTCCATGTGGTCAGTGATCATCGTCTTGTAACTGTCACTGTATGAAACATCTGTTTTGAATGAATGAACTAACGTCTGTCTCTGAATACTCACGTTTTGCTCTTTGTAACTATCTGGATCCAGTTTAGGATCTGCCAGCCCTCTGACTGCTCATCTTTGTCTGTGTTTCCGGCTCCTGTCCAGGCGTGACCTGTGAGTCTGAGGTGGACGAGTGCGCCTCTGCGCCCTGCCTGCATGGAGGCTCATGCCTGGACGGTGTGGGATCCTACCGCTGCGTGTGTGCCCCGGGCTTCGGGGGCTCCAGCTGCCAGCTGAACCTGGATGAGTGTCAGAGCCAGCCGTGCGTGCACGGGGGCGTGTGCCACGACCTGGTCAACGGGTGAGCGAGCAGGGACTTGGGGTTTGGAGCCCTCAAGTGGAGAGGCGGGACCATGGAGTGGTGGCGCCAGGGACCGAGGCTGAAGGTCGGATGATTTGGAAGGAATGGTCGGGCTTGCTCTCAGCCGGCTGCGCGGCTTCTTGGCAGGTACCGATGTGACTGCACGGACACTGGCTATGAGGGTGCGCGTTGCGAAGAGGAGGTGCTCGAGTGCGCTTCCGCGCCCTGTGAGCACAACGCATCCTGCCTTGAAGGTCTCGGGAGCTTCCGCTGTCTCTGCTGGCCTGGTGAGTGCGCGCGCAGCTTAAGCACGCCACTCAACTAACAAGCGCGCGCTCAGACCGGTGCACTGCTTGGGTCCGCGGCACAGGTGTACGTCTGTGCGCATGTCTGAATGTAGTCTGTGCCCGCAGTAGACTGAGAGGCTTGGGTGACTGAAACTTTCCGAGCTTAACTTCCTGATATGCATAATCGGGCTAATCATAGCACCTACTCCTAGGGTTGTTGTGAAGAGAGTAAATGTGGTCAAGACTTAAGCATGTGCACGGGCCTGGCACGTTCAGAAAACACAGCAATAATAATAATAATAGTCACATGATGAGGATGCCAGTGAGGGCTGCCATGGTCATTTCTACCCTTCCGCCCACTCATGCGTCTCACTCTTACTGTTGGGGTCTTGTTCTTAGCTGGTACGGCCTTGGGCTGGCCTGGTGGCAGTAATTTGTTGCCCGCATGTGCGCTCCCCAGGCTACAGCGGCGAGCGGTGCGAGGTGGATGAGGACGAGTGTGCATCGAGCCCCTGCCAGCATGGAGGCCAGTGTCTGCAGCGCTCCGATCCGACCCTCTACGGGGGAGCCCAGGCCGCCTTCCCAGGAGCCTTCAGCTTTCGTCATGCCGCTGGCTTCCAGTGTCGTTGCCTGCCGGGCTTTGAGGGTGAGCCTCCCTCACGGGGGTAGGTCCACCAGTATTCAGACACTCGAGGAGGATCCCGGGATCAAGCAGAGGTATCTTCGGGTCGGGTCCGAGTCAGCTCCTTTCTAGCTCTCAACTGGGCCCTTCCAGCTCAGGTCAGGCTCTGAGGGAATAGAGGGAAGTCACACAGTGGGACCTCTTGCAGGGGACGACTGCAGCGTGGATGTGGATGAGTGTGCCTCCCAGCCGTGCATCTACGGAGGCCGCTGCCAGGACCTGCCCAATGGCTTCCAGTGCCACTGCCCCGATGGCTACACAGGTGCCTGGGCTTGAGGATGGGGGTGGGGAGTGGGGCTGAAGCTGGACTGATGTGAAGATTCTCTCCCCTCCAGCTGATATGTGGAGGCTGCATTGATGGGGGGTAGGCAGATCAGGGAAGGGATACAGAGGCTCAAGTGACAGCTAAGAAAGGCTGAGCTGGCACCCAGAATTTGGAAGTGGGAAAGGAGGGGACTGACAGGTTTGAGAAATAAGGGTCACTCCAGGTCCTGGGGTTGTTCCACATATGAGAGGGAGGTGTCTGCCTTGAGTGGCTGTTGTGGGTATACAACGTGCTCAGCTATGTTTATGCTGAATCTGAGTGTCTGTGGAGCAGCCAAGGATAGGAGCCAGGGTGGTCTGGGGTCTGGGGCCCAGAGGAGGGGCCTGGGTTGGAGCCAGAAACTGGGGGTGTGGAGAGTGTACTCCTGGCAGCTGGGGCGGGGGGGCGGTGCACAGGATGAAGTTGTGTGATAGACTGTGTGGAGAGAAGGCAAGGAAAACCCTAGACACCTGGCATACAAGAGTTGGGCCCAGGCCAAAGGGGCTAGTTGCAGGCAGGACAGAAGAAACGGGATGGGGAATGGAGAGCTAGGGCTAGTGTTTGTAGAAAGGTGTGATTGGCCTTTGGGGAGCAGGGACTCATTGGGTGGGGGAACTAAGGGTGCAGAAAGGCCCTCCCTGTCTTGTGTACAGACAGACACACAGGCACCCTTCCGCAGGACACTGGGGAACCCAAAGGGCCTACATAACATTCACCGAGTATCTCTGGCCCCTCTGGAATGCCCGTGACACCTCCTCCACATTGCCACATTCCTGCTCAGGCACATAGCCTCCTCTCCTGGCCGGTTTCCTGGGCACAGGGGAAGCCACGCTCCCTTTCATCCTTACCTGCCCAGAAGAGGCTGGAGCTCAACCTCCTCTCCTACCGTGGGGGTCCAGCACATGGCGATAGGTGGTGTGATTTCACCCCTCGGGCCTTGAAAGCCCATCCTTCAGGACTCCATCCTTGGGAGCAGTGGCCACGTAGCATCCCAGCACACAGTGGACCTACCACAGCATGCCCTTCCTGGAAAAGACCCTCAATGCATTTCCTTATTTCCTCCTTGACACAGCCCATGAAGTGGGGCTTTAAAGTCCCCATCTTACAGATGAGGTGATAGAGGTTTAGAGAGGGGCTGTCATCCCCACAAGTTCACCAACTCCTCCTCAAGCTAAGTTCAGTTGATGGGTGACAGGGAGGACAGACAGATATCAGGGTCAGGGGCTGGGAGGGTGACTCCAGCTATAGGGCTGGGCTCCTTGCCACTGTCCACACCTCCTCCCTCTGGGCCGTGCTGAGCGTGGGGGCAGTCAGTGCCTGGCATTCCTGAGCTGGGTCTGAAGGAAGTAGTCAGACCAGGCAGGGAGCTCTGCTCCCCAGCCTCGGCACCCACCCACCACTCTTGGCTCATCTGTGGGAAACGCAATGGGACTGCAGGTTCTGTGGACCTTCCTGGAGGGCCTATGGCTCTTGGCAGGTATGGAGACCTAGGGCCTGCAGCAGAGGAGCTTAGGGGTGCTGCTGGTTGGGTCCCTAATGAATGCTGTGGTATGTAGGGGCTGACTGGGGACTGGTTTCAAATCCTGGTGGCTTCTCTGGGCCTGGGTTTTTTGGATATAGGTACAGGGCTGACCTGGGTTGCTTCCTGGAGGCTCTGGTTGACACCTAAACTGGGGCCAGAACACCTGGCATGGGAGCTCCTGGAGGAAAGAATCAGATAGCCTCTTCATGGCTGGTACAGGGGACCCCAGAGCAGAGGGCTGGCTGAAGGAAGGCTACTTGGAGTGCCCCTGAAGTATACACCCACCTAGTACTTGCTTCTCTGTGTCGTCATTCCACAGACATGGCACCAAAGACACATTCAGTCCCCTGCAGGACATGCCAGTAAACAGAATCTTTTAAAGCAACATTTTAGAGAGCTATGGCTAGGGTGGGCAGGGGGCTGGAGTGACCCAGTGGGGTGGGGTGGGAGCCAGGAGAAGTCTCCCAGGGGAAGAACCTTTGGAGTTTGGCTTTGTGGGATGAGTTTGGCTTTGTGGGATGAATAGCAGTTTGAGAGAAAGAACAAGGGAGGTTGAGGCAGGAGCAAAGTCCTAGAGACAGGACTTTCCAGGAAGCTCGGTTCAAGGTTCATAGGGAGTTAGAGTTAAGCCTATGAGGGGTCTCAAATACCAGGGTGAGTGCTTGGACTTTTGCAGCAAAGGAACCTGGGCAGGTGATGGTTAAGATAGAGATAGATCCCTTGCTGCTGGCAGAGATGGTTGGGAGGAGTGCTGGTGAGGGAGGAAACATGGGTTGGGGAGAAGGTGGGGCTGGAGGGAGTTTAAGACATTTAATCTGCAGGGCATGAAGACTGGTCAGATATGGTAGCTGGAGAGGGCATCTTGGATTCTCATCTCTGGGCACTTCAGGGTACCATGAAAAATCCTTTGGGATGGGTTTGGTGCTGAGTCCTTGTCCTAGGAGGCATGAAAGCTGTGGGTCCAGACTGGGTGCTAAGCCTCAGTCTCATCTCTCCCAAAGGCCTGACATGTCAGGAGGATGTGGATGAATGCCTGTCGGAGCCTTGCCTCCATGGTGGGACCTGTGATGACACCGTGGCGGGCTACATCTGCTGGTGCTCAGAGGCCTGGGGTGGGCGTGACTGTTCTGTGCAGCTCACCGGCTGCCAGGGCCACACCTGCCCACTGACTGCTACTTGCATCCCCATCTTCGAATCTGGGATCCATAGTTATGCCTGTCACTGCCCACCAGGTACCCATGGTCCTTTCTGTGGTCAGAATACCACCTTCTCCTTGGTAGCTGGGAGCCCTGTGGTGGCATCAGTGCCAGCTGGCAGCCCCATGGGTCTGGCACTGCGGTTTCGTACCACATTGTCTACTGCTGCCTTGGCCACTCGAACTGACACCCAGGACAGCTTGGAGCTGGCACTGTTGGGGAACACACTTCAGGCTACACTCAGGAGTCACGGTGTCACTGTGCTCATCCTGAGGCTGCCAGACCTGGCCCTAAATGACGGCCACTGGCACCGGGTGGAAGTGGCACTCCACCTTAGGACCCTGGAGCTACGGCTCTGGCATGAAGGTTGCCCTGCTCGACTCTGCATGGCCTCTGGTCCTGTGGCCCTGACGCCAGTGTCTTCAGTGGTCCCATCGCCTGCTGGGGTCTGCTCCGCTCAGCTGGGTGGTGTGGCTTTTGCGGGCTGCCTCCAGGATGTGCGGGTGGATGGGCGCCTCCTGCTGCCTGAAGAGCTTGGTGAGAGTGTCCTCCTGGGCTGCAAGCGCCATGAACAGTGCCAGCCTCTGCCTTGCGCCCACGGAGGGACGTGTGTGGACCTATGGACTGAATTCCATTGTGACTGCCCCCGGCCTTACAGTGGCCCCAAGTGCAATGATGGTAAGGGGGGAAGGGGGAAGGGGCTTCTGAAGTCTGGGCCCCAGAGCACAGGCCACACTTTGCCCCATCCCACAGACCTCACGCCCAATCCCTTCTCTCCTTGCAGAGGTTCCTGCCGCTACCTTTGGCTTGGGAGGCACCATGAGTTCTGCCTCCTTCCTGCTCCATGAGTCACCAGGTCCCAACCTCACAATCTCCTTCCTTCTCCGCACTCGGGAACCTGCTGGCTTGCTGCTCCAGTTTGCCAATGATTCAGCAGTAGGCCTGACCGTGTTCCTGAGTGGGGGCCAGATTCGGGCTGAGGCACTGGGCAGTCCCGTCCTGGCACTGCCAGGGCGCTGGGATGACGGGGTCCGCCACCTGGTGACGCTCAGCGTTGGGTCTGACCGGCTGCAGGGCCTGGGGCAGCAGGTGCATGTGGGTGGCAGGCTCCTCCCTGCAGAGACCCAGCCCTGGGGTGGACCCTTCCGAGGCTGCCTCCAGGACCTGCAACTTAACAACTTCCACCTTCCCTTCTTCCCACTGTCAGTGGGAAATTCAAGCGACCCCAACAATGTGGGCAGCAGGCAGATGTGGAACCTCACTTTAGGCTGTGTCTCAGAAGACGTGTGCAGTGTGAGTACCCAGGGGTGGAATGGGTTAGAATGCCCTTTTCCTGGTAAGGAAACTGAGGTTGAAGAGGTCAGATAACCTCCTTTAGACAGTGACAAATCATCATTTACATTGACTTCCTCTCCTGCCAGCTGTCCTCACTCCCTGCTGGTCCCCATAACCCAGTGATGGTGTGGGTTAATGTGCTGGACTCCACAGTCAATTTGAACTGCAAGATCGGTGGTCCAAGTTTACTAGCTGCTCCTTGGAAACTCCACACAGGTTCACTAAGAGTTGGAGCCCACTTGATGGCACTTAACAACAAGAAGTCTTGATTGAGACACACTCTGAACCAGGCAGATGACTGCTTGAATATCTTCAGGGACTGCTAGGGGAACAGGATTACCTGTGGGAAAGTGAACAGGATCAGGGATTTGAGTACTCTGTGTGTGAACTTTGCTACCTCTATTTCCTGGCTGGGTGACTCAGGCAAGTGGCTTTCCCTGTCTGAATCTCAGTTTCCTCATCTGTAAAATAGGGATGATAGCAACTTCCTCCCTGCTTCTTTGTAAAGAAGTGATGTCTGTAGCAGATGTTCAAAGCAGGTGCTCAGTGAAGAATCACTGCCACGACAGTAGTTATAGTAGAGCAATGCCAACTGTAGGGCTAAACTGACCTTTGCCTTGCTTCTCCTGCAGTCTAACCCCTGCCTCAATGGTGGGACATGCCTTGTCACCTGGAATGACTTCCATTGCACCTGCCTTGCCAACTTCACAGGACCCACATGTGCCCAGCAGTTGTGGTGTCCTGGGCAGCCCTGCCTCCCACCTGCCACGTGTCAGGAGGTCCCTGATGGCTTTGTCTGTGAGTGTGGGCTCTGGGCACCAAAGCAGAGTTAGATCCTGTGCCTTTGGTTGGGGATCATGGACTACAGGATGATGTGCTGGAATGCCAGCAGTCCCTGTCCAGTGTGGCTGGACCACTGCATCCAGAGCAACAGCAGTATTTGCAAAAGCTCCAAGGTCTAGAAGCACACTCGAAACAGAAGCACAGGGAGAAATTTTAAGCAGTTCTGCATTTTAAGAATGCATCTACTCTCAGTGAGCCATGTGACGAAATGGGGATGTTTCAGGGAGGAGAGTAGGGACAGATTCTGCAGTGGTTCTTATTGTGACCAACTGGCCTGTGACCTGGAGGGAGGGCAGACATCTGGACTCCCCAGCACTGGTCTAGAGCAGGTTCTCTGGAAGTGGGCAATGCATGAAAGGGTGGACGCAAGCTGGTGGGGCGGCTGCAACTCCGGAATTGGATGCCCGACACATACCAGAGATGGACCTGGGTAATAAGGGTGGCAGGTGGTGTCAGCTATGCGCTTGGGTGAGCATCTCAGGCGAGGACATGGCTTCACCTCCAGAAGACCCCAACCACACGCCCTTTCTCTCTGTAGGTGTGTCTGAGGCCACGTTCCTTGAGGGCCCCTCAGTCGAGTTCAGTGGACACAACGTGTCGGCAGGGCGCAGTTTTGGGAGCCTCTCACTGGCCTTCCGTACTCGCGACCAGGAGGCCAGGCTGCTGAGTGCTGCCACGGGACCCCAGGCCGCAGTCTGGCTGGCCTTGCACAATGGCTCACTAGCAGCTGGCATCCGCAGCGGCCACGGCCTGCCAGGCGCCGTGCTGTCCGCGCCTGGACCGCGCGTGGCCGATGGCACCTGGCACCGCGTGAGCCTGGCCATGGAGAGCCCTAAGGCTGCCGCGTCGCGCTGGCTGCTGCGGCTGGACGATGCAGCTACGCCCGAGGCGCTACGAGGACTGGCTGGAGACCTGGACTTCCTGCGCGGCCCGGGCGCTGTGCGCGTCTTGCTGGCGGAGAACTTCACGGGCTGTCTGGGCCGTGTGGTGCTCGGCGACCTCCCGCTACCCCTGGCGCATCCGAGACCTGGCGCAGCACCAGGTCCTGGAGAGCGCTTTGAGGCTTGGCCTGGGTCGCCAGACCCGCGCCTTGGCTGCCACGGCGCGCCCGTGTGCGCCCCCACGCCCTGCCTGCACGGCGGCGCTTGCCGCGACCTCTTCGACACCTTCGCCTGCTCCTGCGGCCCTGGCTGGGAGGGCCCACGCTGCGAGACCCGTGCTGACCCCTGTCGCTCAGCACCCTGTGCCCGCGGCCGCTGTCATGCACTCCCCGACGGTCGCTTCGAGTGCCGCTGCCCTCCCGGCTTCGTGGGCCCACGCTGTAGGTACGAGCCCAGGCAGGGTTAAGGGGACTTCTTCCCAAGGGTAGGGTTGGGGTGCCACGAGGTGGAGTCTGGGAGGGAAGGGCACCTGGGGCCATGCTGGGGCTGGGAAGGCTTAGGGGAGCCAGCCGAACTGCAGACTCGCTGGTTCTGTGGGCCTGTCGCTTCCCTTCGCTGACCCTCAGTGCCCTTATCTGAAATGGGGACAGTTGTGAAACCTAGACCCCTAGAGTTGTCAGGTAAAACACAGGATGCCCAGTTAAATGTGAATATCGAATAACCAGTGCTGTTGTGGTGGTGGTGGTGGTGGGGGCTCAGGGGGGCGCACAACTAGTATCGGAGGAAAACCCTGAGGCTTTCCTGCAGAGCCACAGCACTGATGTTCATCCCGGAACAGGAGTGACATGGGCGGATGCCCCGACCTGGTCACGTCTGTATAAGGCTCTGCTGGACAGAGGATGTTGCTCTCCAACTCTCCTCTCTTTGGGCTCACAACTTATAGTTATCTGACAGCCTAGGGTGACTTCCAACCCTTTCCCAGGCCACCTCTCCCTGCTGCCCTCCCTTCCCACTCCCCCCCCACCCCATGGCAGGTCCAAGTTTTATGCTTTCACCAGCTTCTCACAGGACTCTGAGGATGGAAAATTCCACACCCCTGTCTAGACACTGTACCTGTTGTGGGTGGGGTGGAGCCCCAGGGGAGCTACTGTGTCCCATCCCTTCCATCCTCAGACACAGAGTTGATGACTGATATTAAGGTCTACAGGAGGAGGGCTCCAAATTCCACTGATGAGACCCCCTGAGGCTTGGTTACTTGAGGTCACAGTGGAGTGCTAGTGGAATCTGAGTCCAGCCCCTGTGCTTCCTCCGCAGGTTGACCATCCTGCCAGAAGAATGTGGCCTGAACTTTACCTGCCTTAATGGTGGACGGTGTCAAGTGGGGCCCTGGGGCACCAATTGCAGCTGCCAGGAGGGCTTTGCTGGCCAGAGGTGGGTCTAGGAGTAAGGGTGCTGGGAGGTGGGCTGGTGAGTATGACAGACTGGACAGGGCTGAACCCTGCGTCTGTCCAACCAGAGCAGGGGGAGTGGGCTGTGGTTGGACCCTTGGGCTCCCTACTGTCATCCCTCTCTGTTCTCACAGGGCCAGACAGTTTACCCACATGAGCGATTTCCCTCTGGGCCTTCAAGACCATCCTTTGTTATGAGGATGAATCCTGGGAAGTCATTCCCCAGTGGGGTCCATAAAGTCCCAGTCTCCCTACATTAGGACCACCTGGGGAAACAGTACTGTCTGAGCCCACACCAGACAGAATCCATGGGAATCTGTTTTTTACTGAGGGTCCCTGTGGTCTGATGAAGAGAGTTATTCTCATTCAAGATACATTCAAGATACTGGAGAGGGGTTGGGGTGGTGGGTGATGTTGATCACATTCTGCTTTGGTCACCTGGCAGGCCCAGCCGGGCAGAGACAGTGCATGGAAACAGGAGGACTGGAGAGCTGGATCAGCTACTGACAGCAGGCAGCTGTGTGGGGAGCAGTTGTCTCAGTTCCACCCCTATCTCCTCCCTCCCCAGGTGTCAGATCCCCACCCTTCCCTGTGAAGCCAACCCCTGTTTGAATGGGGGCACCTGCCGGGCAGCTGGTGGGGACTATGAATGTATCTGCAGTGCCACCTTCTCCGGCCAGTTTTGTGAAGTGGTGGTGAGTGATGTCCGAGGGGGTATGGGTGGGGGTCCCATTCTTGGAATAGAGCCATGATGTTGGGGGGAAGGGGTATGTACAACCTGAGGCTATTCCTAAATTAACCTTGTTATGGGTGGGGAGTAGCAGGAAGAGGAGACTCAGGTTCCTTTCATGGCCTCCCCCCCACATGTATAATCTCTAGAGAGATTTCCAGTGCTTCCTACCCCTGCAGCCCTCATCAGGGCATTAGGTTCCTGAAGGGCTTCCCTACTGTGCCCACGGGCATGGGGAGGGGTGGTGGGAACTGGTGGGCTCTGCCAAATCCAATCTGGGATCAGGATTTAGGACCCACGGAATCCTGGAGTGTTAGGATTTAGGTTGGTGAGTCTGGGAGCCCATCATCTCCAGGGGTTTTTGAGCCAGGAGTCTGGTGTAGGAAGTTTCAGGGAGCCCAGGATTCTGAGCCAGGGCAGGCTTGGCTGTGTGAAGGCAGTCCCTGTCCCAGGGAGGCTTAGCTACAGAGGGGTCAAGGTGGTTGGAGCCAGCAGGCGCTTGAACCTCTTTCATGCCACCTCCAAGTGACCAGCAGACCTGGCAGGCCTAGTGGGCATTGAGCCTGCAGTGGGTGTTGGTGGAGGAGGGGCATCAGGAAGGGAAGCCTAGGTTGGAGCCTTGATCTCTACAGGCTGTTGGCAGCCCAGGTCATAAACTGGTAATCTATGGTGCTTCTGGGGAATGTTCCTTTCAAGTTGAACTTTTACAGCCTCTGGCTCCCCCAGCCACTCTCCTCAGGGACAAAGAGGAAATGGCTTTGCAGTTCCCCAGAAGCACCTGGGGTAGAAGCAGATAAGGACTTAGTTGAGGCTGGGGCAAACTTTTCTTTATAGTCTTGGGACCCCCTACCTTGAGGGTGGCAGCTGGAGCTTGGGGCCTAGGTTATGAGGTGGGGTATTATGGGGAGTGGGTAGACCTGAGGAGCTCACACCTCTGAGACAAGGCCAGTGAGTCTGAGACCCTGTGATTTAGAACAATCCTGGAGTTCTGTGACCCTTGGGATGTCAGAATACCAGGCCTGTAGCACCTTTGATAAGGAGCTCTGGTGGCCTAAAATGCACTTGGTGGCTCAGGAACGAAATTGGCCACTCCTTAGGAGAAAGACCTGGCTTTTGTAAAGATTACAGCCAAGAGAAAGGAGCTCTGATAGTGTATTGGATATGAATTGGGCTGCTAACCTCAAGGTCAGCAATTTGAAACTACCAGCAGTTCTGTGGGAGAAAGATGAGGCTTTCTGCTCCCGTAAAGATGTATAGCTTTGGAAACCCTATACAGCGTCGCTGTGCATCGGAACCGACTTCACAGCACACCACCACTACCACCATCACAGCCAAGAGAACCGTAGGGGGGGGGGCAGTTCTATTGTTACATAGAGTTGATGTTAGTCAAAATCTAATCCATGGCATCTATCAACAACAGTACCTTTGATGGGGCATCCTGGGTAGCTATGACTGGACATGGGGAAGGAGGATGGGGAGGTTTGCTCAAAAGCCTGATCTGAGTCTCCCAGGACTAGCCCTGTTGATGGTTGATGGGCTGGGATTGTGTTGGAGCAGACCCCTTGAGAGGTGGGCCCTGGTGGATTCTGGCCTGCCCTGGCCTCCAACTGCTACTTATAATGCCCCTTCCTCCTAGGGGTTAAGCAGATCACCTGATGCATGGGGAGGAGCGCTGAAGGCCTTTGCTCTCAGATTGGATGAGTTCATTTGGTTTGAGGCTGTAGGGTGATGGGTTCTAGTCAAGATGTGCCCCCTCAGTAGTTATGTGTCTAGGGCAATGTGGGCAAAGCTGGTTTCCTCACCTCCTGTCTGAGGTCAGTGCCTTCTCTGCAGGCACTGCTCTGGGCACTGTGGGATACATCTGTGAACAAAGGGAAAGAAACGGGCCCCATGGAGCTCACTTTCAGTTTCTCAGCTGCTGTGAGGTGAATCCCATTAGCTGTGTGCACAGAAAGTCTGTTTGGAGGCAGAACCCTTGGCAGTGCTCTGACAGGTGCCCCCCCACCCCCAGCACCTGCTTGCATACCCCTGGAACCAGGTCTCTCACTACCTCCCAGGGCAGCTTGCTCCCAGCTCTGAGAAAGTCCTTATGCATCTATTTCCTCTCTCCTCTGAAGGTCTGGGGGTTCCCCTCCCCAGACGCTCTCAGGCCTCACCCTTGTGTCTCTTGCAGAAGGGCAGGCCCGTGCTGCAGTCGTTCCCGTTGCTGGAAGTCGCAGTGCCTGCCGCCTGTGCTTGTCTCCTTCTCCTCCTCCTGGGCCTCCTCTCAGGGATCCTGGCAGCCAGAAAGCGTCGCCAGTCAGAGGGCACCTACAGCCCGAGCCAGCAGGAGGTGGCTGGGGCTCGGCTGGAGATGGACAGTGTCCTCAAAGTGCCACCAGAGGAGAGACTCATCTAGGTCTGGCTTGGCTGCAGCTCCAGCGGTCATGGGCTCCTCAGCTGGGGATTTCTACCTGGAGGCCCAAGGAGCCTGTGGGGGATGTGGGTCGCCCCCTCTGGGTCTCAGGGAGCTGCTGCAGGTTCAAGATACCAGCTGGGGAGGGGTTCACTTGGCTGGCCCCATTTAGACAGAGGAAACAAATGGAGAGCAACTCAGGGAAGCACAGGGGCATCTCCATCTGACCCTCTGAGTTCCGCTTTGGCAGGTGTATGACTGTGTATGGGACGGGCACACATGGGTCTGCACTTGTATGTTAAGGAGTATGTGTGAGCCTAGGATGGGCGTCTGGGGTGGTGCTGTGTGTCTGTGAACATGTTGGTCTGTGTGCACGCTCTGGACAGTTCTTTGGGGCGTATCCACGTCTCTCATGCATGTGTGCACATGTGTGAGTTCCTGACTGTAGAGTGCTGTAGGCAATCCCATGGAGGATTGTACTTGGGGACAACCTGTACAGCTGCCCCTGGCAGGGGCAATTCAAGGATGGCCATCTCCAGGCAGCCAGACCAGGGCGTGGCTAGCCGAGAAAGCTCCAACTCCACATCATCACCCACCTCCAGAGACTGCTGGCCTTGGATGAAGCTGGAAGTCAGGGGAAGGCCATGTCCGGAGGCCATGGGAGCTCCTGATGCTCAGCCATTACTCCAGGTAGAGCTGTCTCACGGCCTGTACCAGGACCCGCAGGAACCACGGGGACTAACCTGGGCTCTGTGCTACTTCCAGCCCCTCTCACTGTTCACAGAACGGGGAGAACTGCCCCTGCCTACCTCACAGGGCTGTTGTGAGGGTCAGAGATGACAAAGGGGAAAGAACTTGGGAAGTTGCTAAACCCTGGTCTGACGTGAAGAATTGTCTGGGTTGTCCTTTTAGGTGTCTGCAACTGTCAACACTCTTGGCTGGAGTTGAGAGAATGAAAGTGGGGAAGGGGCTTCACAGAGGGGGATAAGGACAAGGGAGCAACTTTTCTGTCACTGGCCTTGGGAGGAGGCAGCGCTCCCAACAAACCTCACCTGACCCCTTTCTGGTTGTCTACCCCTAGTTCCCTGGCTCATGACGCAGCCTGATGATGTCACACTGCAACTGGCACACAACTCCCACGTGTAGCTATGGGGGCGGAGTCAGGGAGAGGAATCTGAGGAAGCTCTCAGGACTGTTGTTGACTTGAAGTGCTCCGCAGACATTGGTGTCACATCTTGGCACCTGTGGTTGCTAGGCTGCAGATGAAGGAGAAGCAATCCCTCCCTGACATCTGCCCGTCACATTACTTCTGCACCCACCTGCTCCTCTCCTCGTCGAGGGGCATCTAGGTGAGGGTCTAGTTCCCTTCAAGGAGCAGTGTGTGCTTCACGGACCCCTTTGACCTGGATTGGCACCCTTTCATCCTTCCTATTTTCCAGGTAGCTGCCCCGTGCCAGGTGCCAAGGCTAGGAGACCCTCTTACATGTTTAAACTGGAGGGCGACTACCTAGCTCCCCTAGAGGTTTTAGCCAGCAAGCACCCAGGAGCAGCCCTGTGGTAACTGGGGAGGACAGTGGAATTGGGGGTCAACAGAAGCTAAACTCAAGGCTAAGAGGTTTAGTCCTTATCCCTCATGTTCTCCAGGCCCCCTGGGAAAGCAGGAGGAAGCATCGGGCACTAACAACTTAGCCACAGCTGGTTCCTTGCTTATGTTTAATTAAGTCAAGGTTTGGCAAGCCTGTATTAGTTGAAGACTCCAGAGTGAAGGCATTTTACGTGGGACCTCAATATATAAAAAGCTAGGTTGCTCTGTTTTAAGGAGATCAACATCCTGTTCCCTTCTCTTAGAGTTCTGGGCACCTGCCATTTTCAAGAGAGAAGGACTAGGTGATGGGCAATGCCACCTGAGTGCTCACCCGTATCACTCCTCCAGACACATCCAACAGAAGGGCAGATTCTGAGATGAAGCAACACCTGTTGCTTTCCTGGAGTCTGAGTGTTCTCGCTGTCTTCTGTGCCTACAGCCCAGTTGTGTCGACCAGCAAGCCTGTGCTGGCCTCTGACCAGACCTGCTTGTGAGGGGTAAGGGACAAGCTCAACTCAGAGTCTTGACTGGAAACAGGATTTGGAGTCGCCAGGGTTCCAGCCCTTCCCTCAGTTCTGTCTCTGCCTATGTAGAACCAGGTGATTGTAGCCTGGGTCTGGCCATCGAGGCCTCCCACCCTGGGCCTCCCCTCCCTCCATAGCCTTCTCAGGGATACAGGAATAGCAGCCTTCTCCCCCAAGAAGATTTTATTGAATGCACACAAAAAATTCATTCTTGGGTTTGCAAAATCAATCCAGCAAGTGAAGAGACAACAGTGCCTGTGTGAACATCGGGTGCTCAACACCATGCCTCAATTCAGCCAAGTTCCCTGGCTCCACCCAGTTTGCTTTTACCTCTGCCCAACCAAGTGGGCTCCCCACTGCAGCCAGAGAAAACCTGGAGAGACAATTTGCCCGAGGGATCCTGATTGATTAGGGAAGGGGCTACGCGCTGGGCCAGCAGCTCTTCCAACTCCATGTCAGAGTCAAGCTCAAGGCCAGTGTCTGGTCCTCATAGAGAGCCATGTGAATCAGCTGGGCCCCCTAGCCTTGCAGACACTGATGCTGTTCCCTGGTCCCCTTGGCACCACCAGACATCCCTGGGGGAAACTGTCTGACCATCCACAAACAGGAAATGAGAAATGCTCACAATTTCCTGCATGTCTCAGGGGGTTGGTTTCTTAAATGGTTGGGCTCTATTTTAATTTGATTCGTGGAAATCAGTCCATTTCAAGATTCATCAATAAGGTAAAAAAGAAAAGAGAAAGGAACTATAACAAACCATTGAAATTTAACTTTAACTTTGGTGACGTTGGCTTCAGGAATTTCTGTGCTGGCACGAACTGTGGCTTCTGGCCCTCCTCTGTCTCCAGGCATCTGGCCACTCCCCCAGGGGACCTGAAGACGAGGGTCTGGGCTACTGCTTCCTTCCAGCCCAGGGAGCCCCAGCAACTGCAGCTCCAGCATCAGTTAGTGGTGTCAGTTGTGGCCTTAGAGCCAGAATTGCTTCTCAACTCTGCCCACGGAGTCCCAAGTGGTACGAGGCTTAGGCCCGCTCTGACTACCGCAGGGGACCTGGAGAACATGGAGGTGTCTGACTGCCAGAGCTGGGTGGGGGCTCTACGACACCTCTGAACACATTCAGAGTCATACTATTTTATTTTTCTTCCTAAAAATCAGAGTTGCTGGTGCTTCCCAGCCCCCATACGGAGCTGACTGGGGCTGTTTGATTATTACCAGGGACCCCAAGGATCCCCCAGCCCCCTATCATGCCAAAACAACTAAAGTTTGGGAATTGGGGGTGAAGACTCATGAAAAAAGGAGTGGGTGTATTGCTAGAGGGGTTTGGAAATACCCTACCAGGTAGATCAGTGGGGGCTGGGGTGTTCCTTATTTCAAACCCCCAACCCATCTGTCCAGTGCAGACATTTGTGCGCCAAGGGTGACGTTGACATCTGTGCCCGTCAGCTGGGCCTGCTGGACTGACAGGAGATGGGACGGGGAGGCCTTAAGGAGCCTCCTGGGAGGTCTCCAGTGGGAAGGTCTGGGGCAATCATTGGCCCAGCTGACCTCTTGAATGCAAAACCCTATTAGAGATGCTGAGGAGGTGAGCTGGAGAGGGGGTGGATGGCCAGGAGCTGGGTCAATTTCCAGGCTGGAGCTGACACCATCCTCCCATGGCCAGAGATCAGAGGTGGGCAGTGTGGATGGGAAAGAGGGAAGGCAGAGAAGGGTCCCCTCCTTCCCACCAGCAGAACCTGGGCAGACCCGGGAGGCAGGGGAAGCAGAGGGCCGGCTGACATGGGTACCACAGTGGTAGCCCAAGGGCCTGGCTCACTCAAACGTTTCCCACTGCTTCCTGAGCTGCTCCACTGAGCCTGGGGCAGGGGCCGGGCTCACATCTTGCTTGGTTTTCCGTAACAAATCCTCAAAGGGGTCTCTGGCCTCCAGAGGAGCAGAGGGCTGCAGCGCTGGTTCCAGGCCTTGTGGGGGCCTGGGAGGAAGGAGTGGGGGGTCTCCAGGCCTCAGGGTCAGCCCCTGCTTGGCCTCAGCAGCCCTGGCACTTGAGCGGGCCAGGGGCAACGTTCGGATCCTTGAAGGGGTGACTGCTGGGGGTCCCAGTGGCTGCAGGGAGCTGGTGTGGGAGCCCATGGGCATTTGGCCAAAGAGGTTGGGCATGGAGAGGGCGGACAGGTTGGGCTGAGACCTGTGTGGCACACAAAAGCTGGAATTTGACAGTAGGAGGCTGGGTGCAAAAGTCGGAGCCAGTGAGGCAGGCGGCACCCCAAAAGGCCTGGTGGGTGTGGAGACCAGTGGCATGGTGGGCAGTGAGGCTGGCATGGATGAGACAAAGGGGTTGAGTGATGGCTGTGGGAATGGGGTAGCAGTCCCCGCGGGTGGGAAGCTGAATTGCGGGGTGAATGGGGTGGCTACATTTGTTGGGGGTGGCACTGGTGGAAAGGTGCTGCCTGGCCAGGCTGTGTGAAGTGGGTCCAGGAGGGCAAGCAGGGCATCACTGCCTGGGCCAGTGGCTCCTGGGGCCACAGTGAGAGGCTGAAGCAGTTCAGGGGCATCTCGAGGGGCAGTGCTGGGGAGGCACCCTGGAAATGGGGCAGGGCTTGGGGCAGCCCGCCTTTCCCACTCGACTTGCATACGCTCTGAGGAGAAGTCGCCAAGCGTGGTGCCGGCAGCCTGAAGCTTGGCAGGACGGGCGGTGGGTGGCGGTGGCACGATGCCCAGCTCTGGGGTCTTCCTGCCCTGGGGCCGGGGAATGGTGATACTGCCTGGAGGGGGTGTGGGGACCTCCTCCTTGTTGCTGGAGTTCAGGACACAGTCCCGGTTCTGAGGTCGGCGGTGCAATGCTGGGGAGTTCTCTAGCAGGGCTGAGGGCTTCTCGGGGGAAGCAGCAGGAAGCTTGGTGGGGACGGCCATGTCGTCCTGGCCCAGGCTCCAGAGCTTGTTGTATGGGTGGGCAAGCTTCAAGGCCACTGGCATCCCGAGACTTCTGTCACTCCCACCCAGGTCCAGTCTCTGTGTGGAAAGAGTAGGGGAGAAAGGCAATGACCAACAAGTGGACCCAGGATGGATGAGAAGAAAGTCCATGCTAGTCCTCCCACTGCTCCTTTGTACCAGTGGGCAGGTGAACGTGGAACTGTGCTCCCAAACAGGTGGGCAATTAACGCCCATGCAGGCAGGGAGGCAGGACTCGCCTCAAGTCATCTGGCTGAGAACCCAGGTCTGCTGGACTCCAAGCCCAGACTTTTCTCACCATTTGTCACAAAAAGATTCCAGAAACATGTCCAGTCTTTTATGACTGTAGTTGTCATGCAGTTTAAGGAAAGGAACTCATCTATTCACCCAGCCCCTTTTCCTTTTTAAAGTGTGTAGGCAGCCTAGATAGCCTGTGGGTCTGAGAGGGTGGGGCTCCAGAAAAAGCAAGAAGACCAGGGTCAAGACCCTGCTCAGCCATTTACAAGTGGTGTGACCTTGAGCCGGTCCCTCTCCTTTGCCTGAATTTCCTCACCAGCCCAATGAGAACAGTAGTCCTCTGCAGGTGGACACTCTGTAAATCCCATAATGTGGCTCAGAGACTGCAAAGATAGTAGCCCCCCACTTGCAAGTGAGGAAACTGAGGCACAGAACAGGGTGTGATCAGTGATGACCCAAGAATAATCCAGAACCCAGGTTCCAAGCAGCCTTGGTGGGGCTGGGAAATCCCCATTCTGCCAGGGCCTGAGGAGAGTGGCTTGGAGCACCAGCCGCCTCTGTCTGATGCACAAGCAGAAGTTGGGGTAGTTTTCCATCGGGCTCGGGCATCTTCTCCAGTGGCCACTGTATGGTGGTCTAACTGCTGGCCTGCCTGGCAGGGTTACAACCAGTCAGATCTTGTCCATTATCTGAATATCTTGGGAACATTGTCGTTTCTCCCTTGTTAATTGGGGGAAAACTGCCTCCTGTGTGGAAAGCACCTGGCCTCGCAGGTGCTCTCCCCACCTGTATGTACCTGATAATCAAAGGTCCCCGGCTGCTCCCGAAGCTCTTTAGGCATCCGAAGGTCCTCCAGGCTCTTGGCCTGGCCCAGAGGCTGCAGAGGGGCCTCCATTTCTAGGCTGTTGAAGATGTCTTCCAAGAGGTCAATGCTGGCAGCCCGGTCAGGTGGAGCTGAGACAGGGACCACAGGTTCCCGCGTCTGCTGCTCTGGACTCTCTGCCTCGTCACCATCTGCACTGTCTGACTCCTTGAGTGTCCGATACGGCTGTGGCCTGAGAAGATACAAAGCAGGCTGGAATCTCCTCCCAGAGCCTCCATGTAAGGAGCATGCAGCCCCAAGACCCCCAAGAGCAACAGTCTTTGAGGCACACTCCTGGGAGCCTTCTGGGCAGTAGAATGTCCTGGGCCTGTGAGGACAGGAGTCTGGGCTATAGGGCCGTGAGCTCTTCACTTGAACAGGCCTGGTCTGAATTTGGGTCCTGCTCACTGTGGGTCCTTGAAAGGTCGCTTTGGCTCTCAATTGCACTGATGGGGTCCAGTCAATTCCAGTTCACAGTCGCCCTACAGGACAGAGTAGAACTGGCCCACAGGGTTTCCTAGGCTAGAATCTATGGGAGACGATTGCCTGGTCTTCTTTCCCATGGAGCTATCAACCTTTTGGCTAGCAGCTGAAGTATTCAAGTGCTGCAGCAAGGCCCCAATGTGAGACGGTCCATTAAATCCCTCTAAAACCACCACTTCCATCCTATAACTGGCTAGGGACTTACAGGGTCATTCAGACACGGCATGCGCAATGGGATACAAGTGGGCAGGGAATGCGCAGACAGATACATCCCGGAGCCCACCATCTACATGTCACCCCAAGCCATTCAGTGGAAAAGTATGAAGGGATCATGGGGGAATGGGGAAGCTCTTCTGTTGGTAACCATTCATCAAGTTCCAGAATCTTCAGAGGAAATGGTCTGGGCTTTAGCTTCTACCCAGCTCATTGCTTCCTGTGGGACCTTGCGTAAGTCACTTAGCCTCTCTGAGCCTCAGTTACATGAGCAGATGCAGCACCAACAAGCTCTGGTAAGCATGACTATCACGTGGGCTGGCTCTGGGCAAGCAGCATCAAAACTGCAGCAGATACACATAGCTAACAAACAGCTCACCTTACCTTCCTTTCCCATAGGGCACTGCACATACGTGAGAAAACCCTGGCCTCTGGTGGAGCCACCAGCCAGAGCAGCATCTCACCTCTAACCAAGCAAGCTGGGGCTTGCGGTGACCCCAGGGTTAGGCAGAGACATGTGCATTGCTCTGGTAAAGTGGAGAAAGGGCGCCACCTGCTGGTTCAATGCAGGCACATGCCAAAGGGGCGGGGAGGAACAAGGCTCAACCCACAGTCCCAATTCAGGCAGTAGGATCTCATTGAAGCAGTCAGTGCAAGCAGGTCATGAGGTAGGCTCACACCCCGACTCTATAAGTGAGGAAACTAAAGCCCAGAGAGGCTAAGAACTCACTCTACCTCACACAGTATGTGACAAGAGGTAGAAAGAGAAGCCAAGTTTGAAAGACTTCAAAATCTCACAATCAGACCTAAGTCATTTAACCAAGGAATTAAATACCTACTGCTGTTGAGTTGATTCCAACTCATAGCAACCCAAAGGACAGAGAGTAGAATTAAAGAATCTTTAATCAACTTTGAGTTCAATGGAGGGGATAAATAAAAGACTCCTTAAGCTTAAGGCAACAGTGTTCTTTTAAATTGATTTTACGGTGGGCAAGTTCATTTTTAAACACACAAAGGTCTATCCAGACTTCTGAGCAGTCAGGATACAGGAATAAGTGAGCAGGATCACCATTAATTTACAAACAGAACAATGACGGGGCTGAGCCCAGGGTGTGACCCTCTGGTCCTAGAGATGGGAGGGTCCTTGAATGTTAGGTAAGATGGATGTCTTTTCCTGAAAAGTAATTTTAAATTGATGATCATTTCTTATTCTAAGGGTCCCATCTTAATTTTAATTAATACAAGAAAAAAATAGCTAGAACATTAAACTTTTGCCATCACAGCCATTATTACTTTGGACAAGGCTAATTTTGAAGGCTTTTAAAGGAAAAAAAAGAAAACGATTCAATGAGTGAACGGGAAATAGTAAGTGCAGCTTGAGAGACACTAATAGGCCCCCACGTTCTAAACAAGGACATCAGGAGGGGAAGGGTGTGTCTGTGGTCAGGGTGGCAGGCCAGGGCTAGGTGTCTGGTCTAGGATGCTGCAGTCCCCTGGGGACAGTGGCTGGAGGTAGAGCAGACTACGGTTCATAAGGCCCAGTCCAGGCAAAGGTTTGTGAGCTGGGTTGATGCCTCTGGGGTTTGGAGCAGGGAGAAGGTGGCTGTAGAATGGCTGCCATTTTTTTTTTCCACAGTGGGTACTGTGAGTGTTGGGCAAAGAGCAGCACTTTTTCTTGACGGATTCCCATTGAAAAGTTCACAGAACTACAGGAGCTTGTGAACAGACAAAAATGATAAGACCTGTCTCTGTGCTCAGTACTGGCTCTGAAAAATTTGTGAGTGGAGGGGCAAGAACTGGTCAAGAAAGAACTACAATCTGGATTATGAGGGATCCTTTTCTTGGTCCTCTCTTCTTTCTAGTTTGTTTGTTACATTTCCATTAGCATATGGTTTAGGCTATAAATAATAATGGTGAAATTGATCTCTCAAAAGCCAGGGAGATCAGGAAAACATTTGGGTGTGCTGCCATTTATGTAGCTATTGCATTACCAGAAAAGTTAGTTTCTTCTAACTTAAATCAGACTACAAGGTCAGCAGTTTGAAACTACCAGCTGTTCTGCGGGAGAAAGATGAGGCTTTCTGCTCCTGTAAAGATTTACAGCCTCGGAAGGCCTGTACAGGGTCGTTATGAGTTGGAACTGACTCCACGGCACACAACCACCACCATCCACCATGATGTGCTGAGAGACAGGGGGGATCTGGCATCAATCACTAGGTTACTTGTAGCCAACGATTCAATGAACAGTGAGATGCATTTCCCCTTCTGAGGTGGGTACCCATGCTCCTGTCTCACAGCATAAAGCCTGTTACCTCAGTCCATCCTCACGGCCCCTTTGGGACTAGCAGAATGAGCACCAGAGAGGAGGTGTATGAAGGTGGCATTCATTCTGCAGGCTGGCACTTGAGCCCTTGGCAGGCAGCAGCTCCAGACAACCCTCCCCACACCAACAGCAAATCGCACAGGCCACCCCCACAGCTGCCCTGGAGAGTCACCCAGCTGAGCTCAAGGCAAGCATCTCCTCAGTCAGGGAAATGGGAGGAGGAAGGAGAGACCATTCAAAGGGAGCAGAGAAGAAAAAGCTTTCCGTGAAGCCAGAGCTCGGGCCCTCTTCCCGCTGGCATTCATCATCAGAGGAGTCTTCAGAGAGGAAGACAGCATAGTGTCGCAAGGGCTTTACCAGGCTGGGGCAGAGGAAGACAAAAGAAAGAGAAGAGGCTGTTAGGGGGTACCATCAGAACTCCAGGGGGTGAGGGAGGAAGGAGGCCTGGGGAGGGTGGGGCTAAGAGGGCTCAGCGCCTGTCCTGACCTGCCAGCCTAGGGGCAGGATCCCCAGAGGAAGGAGCTAGTTCCAGATAAAGAAACTGTGGATTTGCCATATGGGCCAAGAGCCTTAAACGCATGCTCTAGTAATCTCTAACCTACTAATCCCACTTCCCTTATAGAATCCTAAATGTAGCAAGATTTCTACATAAAGATGTTCATCACTGCTCTGTTTATAATGTCAAAAAATGGAAAGCAGCCTACATTTCCAGCAATAGGAATCTGGTGAAATGAATTATGGGACAGCTGGAAAAATATCATGCTTTTCTGAAACATAGTGTTTATAACGGAAAAGAAAAACAAAACAACAAGGACGCAGATTTGTAGTTACATAGCTCTCTCTCTCTTACTTTTTTACAAAACATGCATAGAGAAAAGACTGGAAAGATGTGTCTAAATTGTCAACAACAACCAATCGGAGTATGGCTAATTTTCTCCCTGCCTCTCTTTTTCCTGACTTCCATATTTTCTACAATAAGCATATCTACTTTGATAATCAGGAAAAAAAAAAAAAAGTTAAATACAAAAGAGAGCCATGTGGAAGAGCCCTCTGTCTCAGGAAGGCCCTTTTCTGATTAGCGGCTGCTCTCTGGAGCCTCCCTCAGATGCCTCTTCAGAGAGTCTTTTTCATCTGTGATGTGGAAATTAAATATTCATTGTTATAAAAAATACATCTCCCTTGTCAGCCACCTGTGGGCACTACTACCTCTATAAACACAAACACATACACAGTCCAGAGCAAGGAGATGAATTATACACTGGACAGGGCCCATTAGAACCTGTGTGCTCAGGAGAGAAGAACTGGGCGGGGCAGGCCTTGGTTCAAGTCTCAGTTCCCAGGTTGCTTCTGCTCCTTGTCTGAGGACTCCTGGGAGGGTGAGTGGGGAGAGTGTAGGCTAGGAGAGATAAGGATCTAGATTGTCCTACTCACTCCTGTCCTTCAAGCCAAGACAGCACCTTTCTTTACTTTACATGATGGAATTCATTGAAGATTTCAGGAAAGGGTAGATTTTTGAAAAAAGTACATGAAAACAGCTAGTGGATAAGCAAGGACTAACCGGTCTCCAGGTAAATTGTGAGAGTGGATTTGGACTGGGCTTTGCTGTCTTTTACTGTCACTGATGCTGATCCAGTTGTTACCCAAGAATATGTTGTTCTTTTAGAAGTAGACCAGATGTTGACTCCGAGCGTTCCAGCATGCCAGGGCACACTCACACTTATGCCTTCATCTCCTTACACTGTCCTGAAGGTCAGCCTGGGGAAGAGCGTTTGTTATTACTGAAGTGGAGGCCGAAGCAGTGAGGGGAAGCTGCATGTCCAAGGTCCCACACCAGGAGAGTGTGGGGTGCTGTGCTCTCTTCTTCCAGTTGTCTTGCTGGGTGTGAGAGATGAGATGAGACACCCCCCTCAGCCCTGTCTGGACCAGAAGACACATTTTCCTCTGGATTCAGTAGAGAGGGCAGGAAGATCATCCGACTCCGAGTCAGTCACTGAACAAGGCAGCCAAGTTCCTGTCCCCTCCGCAAAACAAACCGGAGCAGGGGGGAAGCTTCTCATTTTCCTCTGGAATACTCTCCACAGAACCCCCGAGGCCCATTTGGAATCACAAATCCAACCTCATCACGCTCCTGCTTAAAACTTGCAAAGCTGCTGTTCTGAATCATGATTTCACCATAGTTAGTTGTGGGTGAGCAAATCCATTTGTTACAAAAAGTGTGACAAATAACAATGTTCAGACATGTGTAGAATGCTTTCAGTTAGAGAAATCCACTTTCACTCATGTGCACTGGACGTTCTCATGAGCAGGTGATGGGTGAAGGGGTGGACAGGCACCATGGACTTGTGCTCAGTTCTGGGGAGCTCATGGTTCGCTGGGTGGGTGGAGTTAGGGTTGCCGGGCTGCAGAGCCAAGGCCAAACTCTAAGCAGGGCAGATCCCATGCTGCCCACTTGGCCCACCCACCTCTGCAGCCTTCTCCCTACACTTGAGCCATGCTTGCTGCCTCTGAGCAATATGGTCCTGGCACACTTCACTCTCCTTGGTGACTCAACTGCTCTGCAGTTTCGAAGGCACTTCCTCCAGGTAGCCCTCCTGGAGTGCTCAGCCTGAGTTTTTTCCCTATGCTGCTTGTCTTAGCACTTCATGAATACCATGCAATTCTATTTTTGAGTTAAACTCCTTCTTAAGAGCACAGGTCTGTTTTGTTCTCTGTCCCTGTCTGGAGCACGGCATTAAGACCATGAAGGTTTACTGGCTGAACAAATGAAAGCAAGCTGGGAAGGTCTCTCTGGGGAGACAAGGCAACAATTCCTGGAGCCCTCCACATCACACGTCTGTCATCAGCTGTGGCTGTGGTACAAAAGTGTCCCTTCTTTGGATTCTATCATCTGAATTCTGAGATGCTAAGACACCTAAGATGGAAGCATGGATGTTGACGGTGATACTGGCAGTACTTACAGATTGGGCTAAATGCTGGCCACATGGGTTCTCATTAATTCCCCACCACATCTCCACTTTGCAGATGAAACAGCCAAAGCCCAGAGAGAGGGAATCACTTGCTTGGAGTCCCACACAGCAGCTAAAGTAGAGCCTGGATTGAGTCTGGATTTGCCTGCCTCTAACCCACTCTTCTGGAGTCCTGATGTGGCGCTGTGGGTTAATACGCCAGACTGCAAAGTCCTTTGAACTGCAAGGTCAGCAGTTCAAGCTCACCAGCTGCTCCTGGAAAAACCTATACAGGGTCAATATGGGTCGGAACCGACTCGACAGCACTTTACAACAACAACAACTACTCAGTTCTACCTCTTGTGTCTCATGGATCTGAAACGATGAAATGAGAGGTAGGGTATTGCCCCCTCGACTTTTAATAAAAGGTGAGCTTTCAAAATAACCTTATTTAAATTCAATTGCTCATGTTCTCCCATGAAACACATAGCCAGATATTTGTCAGAGATAAAGGATAAACCATCGAAAACGTCCAGGTTTAAATTTTTTAGTAGCTTAAGGCAGAATATATATTAAAAAAAAAAAAAAAAGGTGTACCTCTTCCCTCATTAACCCAATTCAGCTACCACCCTGCAGTCTGCCACCCACCACTTGCCTGGATTTTATGATACACAAAGAGCCGTCTGTGAAAAGGCGGGTCGTGGCAAACTTGGCTACCCAGCGAGGGCTGCCTGAGTCTGGTGAGAAAGAAAGGCCTGCTGTCCATCACTGTGGAGACCCCCACCATCTCCCCACGGCAGCTCCCGCCTCTGCCCACCTCATCTCGGCGCGGAGTTACCATGCAGATGACTTCCCGAACCCTTTCTAATGTTTGGTTTTAACGTGTCGCCGGTTAGCGAGCATGTGTGACAGTGGTGACAGGCGCGGCTGTTCCTTTTTAAATACCATGTCAGAGACACGGCGTCAGGAAGTGGGGACGTGCTCTGTGGCTCTCTGCCTCACCGGGATCGCACAGGCTTATTTTTTAATGAGGAAGATCTGCATCTTGAGAGTTTTTTTCATGTGTCACATTGCGTGGACAAATCAGCAGCACGTCACGCTGGCCCAAAATGAAATGCTGACAAATGTAGATATTTCAAATTTAATTGACATTTAAATGTACTTGAGATAAAGAAGGGGAAAAAAAAAATCAGCAAGGACTTGGTCTCCAGAGGTAATGAAGGGGTGCTGGTGATCATTTTTAAAAGCATAATTTCACTTCAACACAAAGGATCTGGCTGCCCTGGCTCCCTTGGGGTTGATGAACAGGGATAGACCCAATGAAGGTCAGTCTGTCCAGCCTTCCAACCTCCTCCACCTCCTAACCAGGCAACCTTGGTAAAGTTACTTTATCTCTCTGAGCCTCAATTTCTTATCTGTAAAATGGGGGTTCTCCAACTTTCCTGACAGTCTTACAAAAGTTAAATGGAAATATTGTAAAACACTTCGATGGTGCCTGGTACATAGAGAATCGTCGATTATTACCCACATGCCATAATCATCTACCAATCACTTCTGAGCAGGATTATCCTGTGCAGGGTCTTCACTGCATGTTCAAGGATGAACATGATGGTCCCTGCTTTCAAAGTTACGTAGTGGCCCTCAGCTGGGAATGTCATAAATCAGCTGCCCTTGGGCTGATTCTAACTCGTGATGGCCCCATGTGTGTCAGAGTAGAGTGTTCACCACACGTTCCAATGGCTGATGTGTGGAGGTAGGTTGCCAGGTCTTTCTTCTAAAGTGCCTTTGGATGAACTTGAAACAGTCAACCTTTTGATCAGTGTTAACCATTTGCACCACTCGGTCCCTGGGCTTATCATAACATGCCAGAATCATCTCAGAGAATCCCTGCCCTGGAGGTCCTGCCCCCTCCTTTCTATCACCAGATACATGACCACACCTTGTGTGCATAGGTTTAAAAAAAACAACAGAAAAAGATTCAGAAGCTAGACAGAGGGGCCTTTGGGATGGATGTGGAGTGACTTTGGTGCAAGACCCACAGAGGAAGCTCTGGATCTGGATTAGAAGTATTCTCTGAGTGACCCAGGATAAGGGTTAGGAGAGTTCTCAGGGAGAAGAACTGGAGACACAGATATGTACATAGATCTTTGTACATATGAATGTACATGCTGCTTGTGAAGGTGTGGAGAAACAGCATGATGTCCTGCGTATAAACAGTAACAACAAGAAGAATCACTGATGTAATGAGTCATGAATACTAACGAGAGGGTGTTCCGTCAGGTGAACTGCTCTGGTGGGGCTGGGTGGGTGTGTGAGACCAGGCCCTTCCTACCTGTCGGGGACATGTGGGGCTTACTCGCCTCAGAAGAGGCTTACTTGCTCTCAGAGGAGGCTTCACGTGGGAGGTGGTATGAGA